AGTTATTATTAATTGATTAAACTAAAATTGTTTAACGGTCAGTAATAAAAATATTAAATAATTACATTCTTATCAATATAAAAAATATTTTCAACTATGCCACAAAAAATTAAACATTTATTATGTTCACAGCCGCATTCTGTTGGATGAACGTGATGGCTGTCGACGTGTATAACACATTTGCAAACCATCAGTCCTCCTACCGGCGATTAAAACGGCAAAACCGACAAAAATTTATTATATACTCGTGCTATGCCTGGTTAACCCCTATGGCCATTGTGGGCATCTCGGTTATTGTACAGTACACCATACCTATAAGTTCGCCATATAACCCGGCTTACGGACTCACCATATGCTGTATGTCACACTTCATGGCCGTGGTCATATACTTTCTGTTGCCCTTGAGCGTTGTACTAACATTAAATGTTACCCTGTACATAATTACCGCGCACGAGCTAAAACAAGCTACAATACGGGCCAGAGTGGTAACCGGTAGTACACCAGCAACCGAGTGTAGGGCCCGTTTGGGGTTGAATGTACGCCTAATCCTGGTGCTGGGACCAACATGGATTTTTGGCTTTTTGGGCATGTTTGTCAATATAAAGACAGTTAGCTACATATCCATTGTGTTACATGGACTGCACGGGGCGTTTATTTTTATGACGTTTTGTATGCGTCGCAAAGTGTTGCTTCAACTCCGGCACAGACTGTTTCCAACCCCGTCTACCGGTGCGAAGGCTATGGCCGGGAAACGCGGGTCAAGCGATGATAGTGCTGAATCTGGTAGTTCGCCCAAACATCAAACCTCACAGTCAAGCAGTTTGGACACTACGATCACTAGTGTGTCAAACATTACCACAATTAGTGGTAGTAGTATCATGTCAAATTCAAATGCTTAAAATAATAATGTTTGAATGGTGTTATTTATGCTGCATTTAATGTGTTATACTTAATATACACTTAATGTACACTTGTGTTACATTATGTATTAAATAAATACATAGATTTAAATACTTAATTATATTAATAAGTCTAATACATATAGTTGGTAGGCTTTGTAAAACTATAAGTTTTCATTCATTTATTTTTATTGAAATTATATTATAATTTCTAAATATTAATTTATACAATAACTTAAAATTATTTCATAAATATTAATAACATGTTTTGTAAAATATTTGCTTTTATTAATAAACTTCTTAAAACAGGAATGTATTGGTTTGTAATATTGGTAATGGAAAATATTTTTATTAAACCATATTTGTAATTTAATTAAATTGTTGAGTATTACTCATTATAAAAATATATGAAAAACATCAAAATAAAGAACATTCATTTTGTAAAATTAAATTGTTTAAACAAGATGAAATGATTTCTAAAACAATGTTAACAATTATAATAAACGTGTGCTTGGTCATCCTATGCATTAACCTACCAGTTGCTAAATCATCACTCGATACAGATAAGAGCCATTATATATCCCACGATGCCGAGAAAATAATCCTTATGACTTACTTCACCAACGAGTTGTACACTATTAGCCTGAATTATGGTAACCAAAGTGTAAGTCGTAAACTAACATAAATACATTTAATTCAATTGGTATTCATAAAATAAAATTCAGATAATTAAAAATCAAACACTTGTAATGCGATAAAACAAATATAATTTCTAGATTGGTGTGACCGGTCACGCGCTAACCCACGAGGTAAAAGAGTGCACTACACGGCACAAACACTTTGCTCAGCACTGCATACAAGACGTACGGCAACGGTGGCCGCGGGCCGATCACAACATGCAAAGAGTGCCTGAATTTTATTTCACCGAGCACGACGACCAAAACTTTACCTACTATTACGACTTTATGGGCACCGCCAGCGGCACCTTCCCGGCCATCGACACTACTACTGGCCAAGCGAACCATACCGGTACGGATCAGGTAAAACCCACAACACTTACCGGAATGTTATACGAGCCCCAGAAATGTTGCATAATATACGAGTTGTTAGACTGCATGCACACGGAGTACAAGCGCCAGTGCCCGGGCCTGTCGTTCGCACCGGTAGACGAGGTGCTGCATCTGTCGGCGATGCAGGTGCACGACCGGTGCGACGGTTACCATATCGACAATCCGCTGTATCGGGCCATAGATGGCAGCGGTGAACGACATCACGTCAACCCTCGTAACAACGATAAGAACTGTCACATTAGGTTTGGCGGTACAAGTGTTGATGAGGGTAAAAATTCCGCTGCGTCTGGTTTGCGTACGACCACCCTATTGGCGGTAGTGGTGTGTGCCTGGTATATGTTGTGTTTGTTAATTCAGCGAGATCCCTATATTAATAAGTTATCATAAAAGTTGTAAATGTATGTTAAGTTGTATCTCTTGTATTACATCTTACTATATATTTTAATTGCATTATTATTTGTAAAGAATATTTTATTTTTGATTGATTATTAAAATATAATTAACATTAAATTTTAATTTTAACGTTTACTAATTAGAATTTAAACATCATTAATTAATTTAAGAATAATTGTTAGTAATTTAGTTTATCAATAATAAAGTTACTTATAAATAGAGTCTCTATTTTTCGGGAACTCCCGAATAAATTTAGTGAATAAAAACATCGGGAATTACGTACCGTTAAGCTTATGGGTCAAAATAGGACCAATATATATTGTTTTTATATTCCCGATTTTTCCCGATTTTCGCATATTTTGAGAAAACTCCCGAAAAGTCCCGAAAACTCCCGATTATGAAAACATAGTCCCGAAAATGCACTTTTGTCACGAAAAACTCCTGTAATCATCGCTTTTTCTTCAAATATTTTAATGAAATATTAAATAAATACCAAAATCTACTAAAAAGTTCAAATAATGTGTGATAAAAGGATTATATGAAAGCTAAACTCAAAACATGTGACAATACAGACAGCATTTTTCAATGCTTGTCAATTATTATGGCCCAAAGAAATTCAATTTTTAAAAAAATTATTAATTGTCACGGACGCCGCCAGTTATATGGAAAGAGCGGGAACTAATTTAAAGGCAATTTATACAAATATGGTTCACATTTCATGTGTAGTTCATGTTTTAGATCGAGTTTGTAACACCCATCTCAAATAAACTTTATAAGTAGAGTCTCTATTTTTCGAGAATAAAAACACCCAAATT